TTCAAATTTATCAGTTTTTGCCAAATTCACTCCTCCAGTGAATTTATGTCACCATTAGCATTAATACCCCAAATGAAAGCAAAACATAACTATCTCCCACATCCCCATAGGCATAACTGCCATTTGCCGAGGGAAAGTGTGGGGGGGGGGGGGGGGGGGAAAGAAGGATCATAGAGTAGGTCCGACCTCCATTTGCTTCCCCCGCGCGCTACTTCCGGCGGGACGTTTCCGCCGAGCCGCGGAAGGAAAGAAAGGCGAGGTGCTGCGTAATGCAAGAGCTGTCTCGGCAACATCTGCGCATGCGCCTCAGAGAGACAGAGAGAAACCCGGGTTTGGGAATCGGTTGTTCTAGCCGGCCGTTCGGAAGCCGCGATGCCGGATTATTTGGGGACCGATCAGCGCAAAACCAAAGAGGAGGAGAAGGAGGACAAGCCCATCCGTGGTAAGACGGGTCATCTAGGCTAACGCATTACCCGGGCTCCTTATAAGGCGGCTGCGTTCACACGGCCCTTTTTACCCGGGTCGGGTCAGACCCCCCCCCCTCCTCAATATAGATGCGTGTACGCAAGTTTGCTTGGGCTGCTTCTCGTGTGGTGGGAAGCCAGTTTGTAATTCAGTTTTTTTTAAAGTGGGTTTAAATAGCCTAAACACGGGTCTGGCGTGTTGTGTGAATGCAGCCAAAGTGGGGGGGAAATCACGGGCTGGCTTTGAAACGCGCGTCTCCATTCATTCAGACCCTTTGACTGGGCTCCTTCGGATATTGCCAGTCGCCCCAAGTGTAAAACCTGAGATTTGTAGGTCAAGTTGAAAAATGAAGGGCATTTATTATATTAAATAACCCCATTCTTCTCTAAACTCCTGTCCTGCGGATGTAACCATGAGTTCCATGGAAACCTTGTTATAGTTGGGGGTTAGTTCAAAACAGCATCTGAAGAGAAACAAAGCTAGGAGATTGGAGAGTACAGCATAATTGTATTTTATTAAATAAAGGAGAATATTTGTAGCTCAGGGTTTACATGAGGTGTGCTTGGTGCTCTCTGAGCTTGGCAGTTTTCTTGCAGACGTTTCATTACCATACTAGGTATCAATGCTAGATAGTAGAGATTGATAGGTGATGGATAGATGATACATGGGTGGGTAGGTACTGTAGGTAGGTAGATGTAGGTAAGATAGGTAGGTAGATAGATATAGAGGCAATAAAGGAGAATAGTTATAGCTCAGGGTAGAAATGAGGTGTCTTGGTGCTTTCTGAGGTTACTTGTTTTCTTGCAGACGTTTCATTACCATACTAGGTAACATCATCAGTGCTAAGTAGATAAATAGAGGGATGGATGGATGGATGGTAGATAGATATAGAGGCAATAAAAGAGAATATTTGTAGCTCAGGGTGGAAATTAGAGGTCCTTGATGCTCTCTGAGGTTGCTTGTTTTCTTGCAGATGTTTCATTACCATACTAGGTAACATCATCAGTGCTAGTGATGATGTTACCTAGTTTGGGTCATGAACTGTCTGCAAGAAAACGAGCAAACTTGGAGAGCACCAAGGACCCCTCATAATTTTATTGTCTTATTCCTGGCAAAAGTGAGAAGATCTCAAGGTGCTAAAATAATGTAAAACTCCATTTTGTTTGCCATTAGTGGAGCATATTTATTTTTTTAAATCATATATTACGCCCCCTTTTTCTTCCACCAGGTGGGTTGAGTTCTAACGTTAGAAAAATATGACTTTACGGGAAGTATAATGGAGGCTTGGAACTGATTTCCCAGAGATAGTGAGTTAGTCCTCAGTAACTGAGTTTAAAAGTTCAAGGATTTTGTTGTTGTTTTTAAAGGTTTTATGAGTACTGATGATAAAATGGAGTGACTGTAGTAACTTGGTTTTCTATTGGGAAACAAAGTAAAACATCATTCCTTTATTTTTCTAAATTATCTCTGTTATATCTCTCAGCTTTGGATGAAGGTGACATCGCCCTCTTGAAAACCTACGTAAGTACTCCAGGTAGCACTCCCAGCATTACTTTGAGAACCAGCTATAATGAAACATTTAGGAAGCATCTACATTAAACAAATAGATAAAAGTTTCCAGAAGAATATTCACATTAATATTTTGTAGCTTTTTGTAACTTTAATCGAGAAAGTGCTTTATGGCTTTTTAAAGACTATTTGATTTTCAAATATATTTTGGTTCCCTTTCTAGCTTCAAATGCATAGAATATTGTCCTCTAAGTATTTTTTTATATACAGACACACACACAATTGTAGTTAGAAGGGGAAAGAGGAATAAAAACAGTTAAGTATAGACAGTCTTTAACTTAAGAGGAATCACAGGAATTTGGATAGATTGTATAAAGTAGTTGTAACACAATTGTCTTTATAAAAGAATCATTGATTTTCTATTGTTTACATTTTATTATGCTTAATAAACATTGTGTTGTCTATGTTTATGGGGATTCTCAATCATCCAGGTCATGGTTGTCCCAAAAGTGCTTTTTCAAAAGACAACTGGACTTGTTTTTTCTTTGAAGACATTTTGCTTCTCATCCAAGAAGCTTCTTCGGTTTTGACTGAAGGGTGGAGGATAGAAGAATTTCAATATAAATCCTTCCGTTCTACACCATCCAGTCAGAGCTGAAGAAACTTCTTGGATGAGAAGCGAAATGTCTTCAATGAAAAAAACAAAGGAAGTCCAGTTGCCACCTGAAAAAGCTCCTTTGTGACACAAATATTCCTCATTTCCCTCAAACTCTGTAAATCTTTTTCCAACCCAGGGCCAGAGCACATACTCAAGGCAAATCAAACAGGTGGAAGATGACATTCAACAGTTGCTTAAGAAAATTAATGAACTCACAGGTACTTTTTAATATTTCTTTTAGTGCTTTAGAAGCAGTAATTTTGTCTGATGCTGGCCTTGACCATTGTTAGCCTGGATTGTTCCGAGTGCTGAATTTCTTAACGGTTATTTTGTCCCCTGAAAATCTCAAAAGGGGAAGCAAGGCTAAGCAAAAAAACAACAACAAAAAACCACAAATGAAAATACTTCTTCAACTGAAAGGAAAAAGGGGGAAGTAGAGAAGATGGACATCACATAAGAGAAGATGCTTAAATGTAATCTGGGAAGATGCTTAAATGTAATCTGGGGAAATGTTGGCATTGGGGTGGGAAAAAACAATCCAGCAAGAATCTCCATGGAAAATTGGGGTGGCGCTCTCGTCAAGAGCAAGATTTAGGATCTGGTTAAGATTTAGACCTCCTCTGGGTCTTCCTCAGCTCCAGGCCCAGCCCAGGTTCCTCCCCAACCTCCTCACTACTGTCCGACTCTTGCTGCCATCTCCGTCAGCCGCCGGCGGGCCACAACATCACCCATCCCTTTCCCCACCATTGCTTTTGACAGGGTCTCTCCAAATTTGGCCACTTTGGCTTGCAGACTTCAACTCCCAGAATTGTGGACTCCCAGGATTCAACTCCCAGAATTCCTCAGCTAGCATGAGGTTATCAAGTCTTTTAATGTTGCCAAGTTTGGAGATGGCTGCTTTTGACCCTACTCTAGCCCTGACTTCAAAAGAAGATTTATCTTTGTCCCGTTTGAGTTGACTCGGCAGTTGTAAAGTTGCTGCAGTAAGCTAAAGCTTGAATATATATTTTGTTGATTTATATGGCAACATGGCTCCTTGTTTTGTTTTGTTTTTCCCCTGTAGGCATTAAAGAATCAGACACTGGCCTGGCACCACCTGCTCTTTGGGATTTAGCTGCCGATAAACAAACTCTTCAGAGCGAGCAGCCACTACAGGTGGCCAGGTATACCATCACATAATACTAAATAACAACTTTGTTGTCCAGTCAGTGATACAGCCAAGCTCCTATCAAAAGGAAAAGAGTTTAGTCCTTTGTGTATGACCCTTCTTTGTTAACTAGTGAAATTATCTTAAGTCATCATCTCCTTTTAATGATCCCATAATCCCTTGCGGAGTGGAGCCTGGGCAACTAAATGGAGCTGAGTATTTACTGGCCGGATGCCCTTCCTGTCACCAGTGCGGAGTTTTGTTCAGAAATATAGTGCTAAAGTAAATGGTTAAAGCAAAGGGTCACCTTGAAGCATGAGATGGGTAGCAAATACATCTCAAAACAACTGGAGCATCAATTGAACAACATTGGCATCGACAAAATTGCCATCAGTCAATTGCAAAAGGCAGCTTTACTCCGAACAGCTTACTGTCAAGACTGACTCGCACTTTCACCTACGTTTTTGCTTTGGTCACAGCTTGACAATAATCTGTATGGAATGGGAGGGTGGGAGAATGGTATCCATGCATCCGTCGGCTTCCGTGAGACATTGCTGGCATCTCAAGGACACCACAAGCAGATGTCTCAGGGTTGCTGGCTGTTTCCCATAACAAAATGAACAGAAGTGATTGGTGGACCTATTGGACTGTGGGTGGCCTGTAAGGAAAGCCAGAAATCAACTATGCTTGCTTTTGCATGGGAAACTCAGAACTGGTTTCCCTTCTGTGTCAGTGTGGTTTATTCAGTAAAG